CCGCCCGTCTCGAGGGTCACGGGCTTGAGGGTGGCGGCGGCCAGGCGCATGACGGCGCGGCCGGTCGACGTGCTGCCGGTGAAGGCGAGCTTGTCGACGCCGGCGTGGGCGGCGAGGGCGGCACCGGCATCGGGGCCGCGGCCGTTGAGGATGTTGAGGACGCCGCGCGGCAGCCCGGCGGCGGGCACGAGGCTGGCGAGATAGAGCATGGACAGGGGCGTCTGCTCGGCGGGTTTGAGGACGAGCGTGTTGCCGGCGGCGAGGGCCGGGGCCAGCTTCCAGCCGGCCATGGACAGCGGGTAGTTCCAGGGGATTATCTGAGCGCAGACGCCGAGCGGCTGGCGCAGCGTGTAGGCGAGCTTGGCGGGGCCGAGATCCATGGTCTGGCCGTGCCTCTTGTCGGCCCAGCCGGCATAGTAGCGGAGCACGGACACGAGGTCTGGAATGTCCTCGGTGAGGCTCGCCGACAGGGGCTTGCCGTTGTCGAGCGTCTCGATGGTGGCCAGCGTCAAGGCGTTGGCCTCGACGAGGTCGGCGAGGTTGTGGAGGAGCTGGCCCCGTGCCGAGGACGACAGGTCACGCCAGGACGGGTGCTGGAAGGCGGCACGGGCGGCGGCGACGGCCGAGTTGACGTCGGATTCTGTGGCTGCTTGGACTGAGCAGATGGGTTGTTCAGTGCTGTCACTGTCAGACATGTGCTGAGAGTATTCTCTGAAAGAAATGGGCCTCACAAGGGATTGACTGTTGTGATCTGCTGGCCGTTGCTGCTGTTGACAAACTCATTGTTGATAAAGAGGCCCCGTGGTTGCTTCCACGTGACACCATTTGGTGCTGTCAACTCAATGTCCAGGCGGCAGTGTGCTGCTGCGCTCAAGTTTCGAGAGAGGAAGGATAGACATGTTTGCTGCCGTTGCCGTACGGCTTGACGCAGGAGAAGCGGTCTTGGTGTGCAGCGCATGGTGGTCTTGGTGCCAGTATTTGATGATGAATCAAGAAAGGGGCCCTCCAAACACAAACATCAGAAAACGAGAGCAGTAGGACAAGGTACCAGGAGAACGACAGAACCAGCGGAGACTATCCCCGATGCTCTGATGCCATCTTTCTGGGGCTGCCTGTCGTGATCACCAACAGGCTTTCGAGGAAGTCACGATGATGGACGTTGGAGTGCATGTTGCTGAGTCAGCAGAACTTGAATAACAGTCACATGATCAAGCCGCACGTGGCCCCCCTCAGTGCCGAGCACCTGATCCCAGCTGCAGAAGGGCGGACAGGCAGATAGACAAGACCCCCTTGCTCGCTTTATCGGCGCCGTGACGCTTCTTCTCTTTCCTCCCTCCTATGCTGTCAACCACTTCATCATCTCCTCCTGGTGTCTCGCTCCTCGCTCCTTGCTCCTTGCTCCCTGCTGCATCCCGTCTCCGGTGAGGCGTCAAAAAAAAAAACTAGCAATTCCTTTTTTTGCTTCTTCTTCTTCTTCCATCCTCCTTTGCCGAGCTTCTTCCCGCCTCGTGGTCGTGATCCTTCCCCGCCCCA